AATCCTTCAGAATATCTCAGAAGGAAAATGACAAATTCTGTGAAATAGCCTGGATTTACTAGTGACCGATAGCCCTGAAAAGTACCGCACCGGGTCAGTTGTATGGGACCCTCACAGCTGCCGGCTGCCACGTGCATGGTTTGGAATAAGAGCACGGGCAGCTTGCTAGGAAAGTGCGAAAAAAACGCTACGTGCCATTACTGAACTCAAGCGTAAAAAGCAAAGAGCTGAAAGAATCTGCTCTGTCCGCAATCAATCACAAGATTTATTTTCCTTTCTTGTTTTACCGCTGTCCTTGATTTATTTGTGAGCCAAAAGAAAGCATTACTTGAAAGAGTCTTAATGATAAAATAGGACCTGCTCACCTCTACGCTCACGAAGCCACGCGGGCTAAGGAGATATTGTGCATTTGAGTGAGACTATTAAAATGAGCTGGCAGGTCGGAACAGACTGCAGTATTACTTTCAGCTCATGCTCAACACTATGGGCTGGAGGCAGAGACACACCAGCGGGAGAGAAAAACGCGCACCCTGACATTCACGCTCCACCTGCCCAGCGCTGCAGGACGGACGGGTGTTCTGTGTGCAGCGCGGGTGTGGAAACACAGCCGGACGAGACGCTGCAGAGGTTCTGCGCTGCTTAAGGTATAAAAGCAGGGAGACCTCAGACCAAGAACTCGACCTCGCAAAGGTTTAATAGCCCAGCGGGATTAAAAGTTTCAGAAACTTTCTAAGCAAGGGGCTCCGTAGGGGCTGGAAGAAAAGGAATGCGATGATTCTGTCAGGTACCAGTCACAAAAAAAACATTCACATCAAGGGATTTTTGCTTAAAAAAAGAAAGAAAAAAAAAAAGAAAAAAAAAGTGTGAGATTGAGTCAGGGACTAGACATTAAAGGTCACCTAGAAATTCTTTGATACAAATATTGTGTGTGTGTGTTTGGAAGAGACAGTAACAAAAGACTCAAAATGTTTACAGCTTTTGTGGACAGATTTTATTATTACAGAACAAACATAATTCCTTCCTGCATGGTGTGGGAAACCTGAAAAAAAAAAGTCCTTACACAAGGAACAGAGCTACAGAACCCCATTACTGGGGAGTGGGGATCCAAATAAAATTGTCTAAGTAACTCTCACCTGTTGTCCATCTCTTTTTCACCTCCAGAGCACCCTTACGTTATGTTACCTTTTGTTTAGGGCTGCATGTTTTGAAAAAAAAGCCATTATTTCCGCAGGTTTAAGCACCAGATCTCAAGGGAGACCCCTTCACTTGTATTTTACTGTGTACAGCTGGTGAATTGCTACAATTTATAGCTGGAAAATTTAAGTCATCTGGCCCAGTTGCATATTTTACTTGGCCTAAAGTCCATCTGGAAAGACCTCATTATTTACTGGATATCGTTCACAGTGTTACGTATTTGTTGCCCACAAACTCAGATGACTATAAAGAAAAGCCGCAAACACTCTGCTTCAGTAGTGAAAGGATTGAGCCATCAATTGTCTTGGCTCACACGTGTGCAGTGCAGTCTCACAATCAGTGCTAATTGTGGCTGTCACCAGCTCTGCTGATGGGCTTTATACAGACCCACCTCAGCATCTGCATCCCTGCTGGCCGGGACGGCAGCTCTGAACGCGGGGAAGGGTGGAGAAGGGTCTAAGCATGACACCAGCAGCCAAAGCCCCTTGTCAGCAGAGCAAAACACCCGCCTTGGCTGCAGGCCTCACCTGCCACCGCTCCTGGAAAGAAAACAGCAACAGTTGCTTGAATAGTGACAGAAGGCATCCTGCTCCTTCTCTGCTCACCCCTTATATTCAAGCACTTAATTATCAGGTATTTAGCCATTTGCCTGCCGAGAGGAGGAGCTCTGAGCCAGCCTTGAACCTTATGTACTCCATGTGGAGAAGGGAGAAAAAACAGGCAAGACTTTCTAGGTTTCAGAACGGCCAGGAGCCAAGCATTAAGGTAGCTATTACACACAGTGCTGCCGGCTGCCTGGCCCGGGTATTAGCAGCACCGCAGGAGGAAGATCCCTTTGCCAGCTGCACAAAGCAGACAGCCAGGCTGAGTAGGCAACAAGCATAGACTCATAGAATGGTCTAGGTTGGAAGGGACCTTGCAGATCGAGTTCCAACCCCCCTGCCATAGGCAGAGACACCTCCCACCAGCCCAGGTTGCACCAAGCCCCATCCAGCCTGGCCTTGAACACCTCCAGGGCCAGAGCTTCCACAACTTCGCCGGGGAACCTGTCCCAGTGCCTTACCACCCTCAAAGCGAAAAATTTCTTCCAAATATCTGATCTAAATCTTCCTTCTTCCAGTTCGAAGCCATTCCCCCTCATCCTAGCGCTACATGCCTGTGTAAAAAGTCCTTCCCCGGCTCTCCTGTAGGCTCCTTTTAGGTTCTGGAAGTGCGCTATAAGGTCTCCCTGGAGCCTTTTCT